GTCCGAATACAAGGTGTGCAAAGGGAGGGTTACACTTTGAGTGTAATCTTACATCCAAAGGACAGGTTATCTCGAGAAAGGTCAAAATAACTGATTATTTTTCTGGCCGGTCGTGTTACAAACCATACGTCTGCCCTGTACCTCTCCCTAACGAGTTTTCACTTTCAGAGATACGCAAATTAATCATATTAGATAAAGTTTTGTTCTGATTTGGTTTTCAAAGGTGACCATGGTCGGAGACCTGAAGAACGGCCGTACTGTTCACTCATTGGCCAAACTGCTTTGCCTCTATGACGTCACGCTCCGTTATGTTTCACCTGCGGCACTTTCAATGCCTGAATCCGTCAAGGAATATGTCCGGAGGAAAGGAATACATCAGGTGAGTGACAGCTGCAGTTGCCTTGACGACAGTGGGCTGACTGAAGCGTTGATTGGACGGAAAAGCCCTGAAGAGTGCATTGCTGATGTTGGAAGAAAGTTACTACAATTGGCAAACAAAATTGAGAACGATTCAGGTCCGACGTTTGTTTTGGTTATTGTTTTAAGCAGAAAATTTTAAGGTTTGTGCAGATCACGGAATACATGTAAAAGTCACCTGTTTTTCATTGTAACTTCCCGAGACTGCAATGCGAATGTGAGTTTGACTGGAAGTATTGTTCCCCATAGGAACATGCACCAAAAAATATGGTTATCCAAACGAAAACGCACTAGTATGGATTGGGGTTGAGAATGGGAACCTCGATCGAAAACCAACGGAGAAATTAAGAGCAAGAACTGCAGTGCTATATAATGGGATCTGATTGGCTGATTCTCTCTTCACAGGAAGAATTTTCAAGTCTTACGGATGCGCTTCCTGACACAGATGTTCTGTACGTGACAAGAATTCAACGGGAACGATTTGAAAGCCAAGAAGAGTACGAAAAGGTAAGTTGTGTATTTGTTTACTTCAAAAATCATTTTTTTTCCGAAATGTTCACAACTTGAACGAAAAAAAAGTAATGAAGTGAGACTTAGTGATCGTTTGGATGGCTTACTATCTTAGCTATATAAGCAACAACTAGCCAACTGACTTACGTACATATTTTGTTGTGGACTGTCTGTCTCTCCATCTGTCTGACGGAACTGGTAGTTATCCAACTGATTGACGGATGGATCGTTAATATACTGATTGATTTATTGAGCAGCCAACTGATTGGTTTAGTTATTGACTGAATGACAATCATTTGATTGATTGACTGATTGATGGTTGAATGGTTTGATTGTTTCACTCGAGGTATTTGGAAGCTATGTCATCACACCACAGATTCTAACAGAAGCCAAGGAGAAGATGGTTGTTATGCATCCTTTGCCTCGTGTAAATGAAATCAGGTGAGTTACGCACTGCAGTAGCTTGTGCGCCTTGATGAAAGACCTTGAAAATAATTTGCGAGGTAGAAACGAGCATTAACTTCCTTTGTTTGTTTGTTATCAATTACTGGCCAGGGAATTGACAGAGTCTGTGTTTGTACATTTTTGCAGCGTGGAGGTCGATTCTGATCCTAGAGCCGCTTATTTCCGTCAGGCTGAGTACGGCATGTATATCAGAATGGCTCTTCTCGCCTTGGTTTTGGTAAAGAGCTAATGGATTGCTGCTGGTATACTGAGGTCCTCTTTCATTATTACTGAACCTCTTTTCCTCTGAAGTCTCGGTAAAACTGCTTCTATGGCTTCGGAAGCTTGGGAAATTAGCCTGATTTGTTGAAGTTTGTCATCATCAATCCGTTTAATCTTGTCCATCCCAAGTCATCCTTGTTCCTTGAAAGTTTATTATTCCTTATATATCCTTTCTCTCTCTTTCCCTTTTTTTTTCTTGTTTTTTTTCATCTTCATCGACATTTGTGGTCTTCTTCCAACTGAAGGGTGTTTTGCACGTCGGAAAACGTGACTTGATATCGTAAAGTAACGCAACGTAACGTAACAACATAAACATGTAACGGTTAGACATTAGCAGACACTAGGTCTTAAATTAAGTATAAAGATAATTTGTTTGGGTAGGCAGACGATAGAGAAGGAAGGATAAACCGAATTAAAATGGTTTATAATGGAAAGCTTGACTAAAAACATGGTTTTAGATCATAAACAAAGGATGGGAAACATGAAAAGAGACTTTTAGTCACAAACGAGATAGATAATGCCTTTAGATATTGTTCCTGTTAGTTACCCGTAGTGTTCCAACTACAATAATTCTCCTTCGAATCGGAGCGGTAAAAGTTAGCTGTGTTCGCAAATTTCGACAATATGGAGCCTTCAGAGGTGGAACCTTAAAAAACAGTTTCTCTTTGAAGGCTAAACACACTGATATTTATAAGTGGCAGATTAGTTTTATTTGTAACAAACTCAACTTTCGTTAAATATTTGACACGATTTGAATAACTTGGATCCGACTATTTTTGGTGCAGAATTTAGACAGCGAGAGAAGAGATTTTGTAAAATCATTGAGCTGCTTAGTTTCAGACTCTTGTAACTTTCGGACTGTACAATCAATGCTAATCATCGTAAAAATGAAGAACATATAGGAAATGTACTATAACCATTTGACAGAATGGCGCAGTTTTTGTTGTTGTTTAATCAATGTTCGTCGGTTGATGGTCATCGAGTGACTGTGGATAGACAGTTAGCCTGAAAGGATGAAGCAATTTTGTGTTCGTAGTAGGAATAATTATTGTCTAAATACCCTATTAGCGTGGGACGTTTAAAGATTGGTCTATGAAGAAAATGTTCAGTTCTCATAGTCAATAAAGCAATTGATTTGTACTCCTCGATTTGTGTTGGATTGTCGTATCTTGGAAAATATTTGACTGTGTAAGGGGAAGGGGGATTCAAAAATTGATAACAAGCTAGTGGCCTTGTTGGCTGACAGTTAGAAATTGAAATCTTTCAGTTATCTTTGCTTCATCCAGTTTAAAATGCTGTCTGTATCGAAAAATATAGAGGTTTATGTATTGTTTTAAAATTTGTGTAATGGGAAATTTGGAAATCTCCGTTAAACACGCAAGCATGTTTTCCTGTAACATTTGAAGATCTTTATTTTCTGCTTCTTTATCACAAGATCCGAAGGTTCCCGAAGGGACATTTTACGGAAGTAAATCTACAGATATGGATTTACACCCTTGTTTATGAGAATGAACGAGAGGTGATACCATTGCTTATCCAAACCATCCTCTCTCTCTACTTTGTTGAGAAATTATTCTGTTTGGAAGGTTGCCAAGCAATTGGTAATTGCTTCTTTGCGCTTGCATTTTGTTTGTGAGTCCAATCCCTCGAAGAATAACGTCCTGTTCCACGGCTCCGTCTGTTGAAAGCTTCAATAGCTGGAATTGCTGCCAAATGTCTTTCCTGTCTTTTAGGGGAAGAGTAATGGTTTTGCGGCGTAGAAACCGAGGAATGTTCAGAACGAGTTCGGTCGTGGAACGGAGATCTTTTTTCACGAGAATATTCAGCTATTCCGTTATTAGCGATTCCTCTGATGTCGTAAAAGTAAGGCGTTTGGTTCACACCCCCATACGTAACCCCAACTATGCCGAAATTTATCCCTGGCTGTGGGGCACCTTCAGCCTTACTCCTTCCTTCACTGGCCGGGGGTTTAAAGTTGTGATCAAAAAAAGTTCTATTAGATCCTGCTGTGAATTCCTTACCAGCCGATCGTCTAGTTTTGTTAAATAGCGAGGCGTTCTCAGTTCCAAGAGGGCGAGTGTTCGAGAGTGAGCGCCTCGATGACAAAGTTCTGGTTATAACTGGTCTCTCAACTCTTTTCACGACGTCTGTTGATGGCAGTAAATGGCTCGTATCGTGTTTAAAGTAATTGTTTAGAAAATGCCTTGAGGCTTCTCCAAAGCAGGCTGCGTTCAAGTTGTGCGTTTTCAAATGATCTTCGTCTAAACGAATCCGTGATGCTGATGCTTTTAGAATTGACTTGTAAGGGGCACGACTTGTCCTAGGTTCTGAACCAATTGCCCTTGAAGTCATCCATGTTTGCGTGTCTGTATGTTCCGAGTTTGCATACGGAGAGTTGTTGGGGAGAGTGGCAAAGTTTACACCTGTGTTCGGCTTGTGGAGTGATGTTCCGTTCGCTAATACGGAGTTCCTTGCTACGACGTTTCGTGTAAATAAAACACCCTCTCGCAAATCCACGGTGTTTTCGCCGCGAGCGGGAATGTTAATCACCCATGCTTCATCTTTGAAAGACACACGCTTTGGTAGCTTTTGCGGTTCAGAAAGACGGCGATTTCTCAAAGTCAAAACCGATCCAGTAGGATCTTTGAAGTTCATAATTACCCCAAAGCTTTCCTCTTTTGGTGCCAGTAAATATCAGATCGTCAAAGAAAGCTAAAAACCGTTGAGGAGAAATGTATCTTAAGGTGGAATTGATAAGTGTATAGAGAAACTATGGCTTTTGTTTACTCAAGGAAATTCAAAACAAAAGTGCTAATTAAACGACGCATTGAGCATGAATGCTAATGTTTGTTTGAACTAATGGACACAGTCCAACCAATAAAATTATTATATTAATCCAGGAGTACAATCGCGCTGTCGCTCTGTGGGGCGTGACGTCTTCAAATAAATTTCTGGTTGTTATTATAAACAAAATGACGCGGAGACTAACAAAGTTATTATTGCGTAACTCTAGATAATTTACAATTTCGAAAAGTGCAAATATTCAATACTTTTTTTTTTTTTTTAATAAATTGTTCTCTTGGGAATCTGATTGATAAGTTTCTTTGACACGAACAAAGATTTTAAAACATCTCGATTTTTTTTCAAACCAAGGTAGTTTATGGAAGAAAATATTCTCTTGAATTCAAATTACACTGCTCCTTGGTTTGTGTATGTTAACTAACGTGCGCTCCAATTTCAGCCATGTGCGCTTGTTTTGTGCAGAATATCATGAGCAGTGCAATACTAGGGAATCACCCTAAGCCATACCGCATCATTAATTCACACAAACAAATAAACACTTTGAACTTGTTCATGAGGGAGACTTTATTTCCCACTTCAACATAAACTGCATCACTCCGAAAGCAAATACAAAATACATTGGCAAGAACGCTTTAAAAAAACAAAACCATGTCAGCTTGGTTAGCACAGGAAAGCAGAATAGAAGATACTGCAGATACAGCTAGACATGAAACAAAAAGTTACGGGGCTGAAGTTTACTTATAGTTGTGTCTTCACAAGGTCAGTTCAAATTTTGCATCACAGTATTGAGAAAAAAAAGCTATAACGAAAAATCTTAATCAGGCTTAAAAGGTGCCAAGACATCATCTCTGAGTTCACTTCCCCAGTGGGTCAATTGATCCTAGAAGACAAGCACACAAGAAGTAAATAAATAAGAAATGAACTCCACATTTGCACCCCTAAAACCCTTAAACAGAGGCATGGAGTTTATGCCTCAGAAATGTATTTCTTTTGGGCTGACTCTGCATGCAGCAAAAATTAGTACAATTCTATCCAGGCTGATATCAACTGACCAACAAACCCATATTGCCCATATTTCCTACTTAGGGCGACTTCCTTAGTTGCTTTGGCCCTTTTCTTGGCCAGTATTCTGGCATTTTGATCCCACACTTGGTCAATTGTGAAAATGTCATCTTTAATTTTCCTATCACAATGACACACTCTTTCACTATGTATCTTCAGAGAAAACAAAGTTTTGTCGCTGTTGATTTTTTCAAGCACACATGAAAAATTCCTAATGTCCAATTCAGCTTGTCTAGAATGAATGTTCAAATTAAAAAAATGCTTAAAAACTGTTCCTTCTCTCTTAGAAAAAGGTGTTTCAAGTCAAAATTTTACATATCTTTACTTGTGGAATATGAAGACAAAAACTTGACATCTTGAATACTCCAACTTTACTCTTTTCAGTCTATTAAAATAAAAAAGAGAAAATATCCCTGGTACACAGAAAATATTTAACAATTACAGGAGTAAAACATATTGTAATGAGTCAAGAATTTTCACCGACACTCACACTTGGTTTTGGTCCTTCATGTAACCAAATATATCAAGCAAAAACTGAGGAATTATCAAGTTGGAATATTCCAAAGTGATGTTTCCTGATGCAAATCTTGCATGCGATTCATGAAAGTCTTTTTGTGTTTGAATTTTTTGTAGTAAGCAGTACCAAATGAGAGACCAAATCTTTTTGTTGATAACACTTGTAGCTTAGAAAAATAACAAGTCTTGCACAATAACTGCTTTTATTTTCAGAGAGAGCCGTTTGGAAGCTTTTTATTTTGCTGGCTGCAAAAATGTTTAAGGGAAGTTGACATAAGATCTTCTTTTGGCTAAAATATGGTAATATATATTTGTTCAAAGACAAATCAGATATCTGCATCAAAAAGCTTACAATTTTCCTCAAGCTTTGCTTGTAATAAATTCATTGTCCATATTTTATGTGAAAATGCAAAAACAATTTTTCTACGAGACTACATCTACTCTAACAATACTGACAAAAGTACACTACTTCCATGGAACATACTGTAATAACCTATACCTGCCAATGATGTTTGTCAACAAAAAGAAACAATGATTGCGATGGATTGCTAAGGATCAAACCAGTGTGCTCCTTTCTGGTCAAAAGTCGTAGCAACTGTTTCTCGTAGTCGTGGTTTTCAAATTCAAACTTGCCCTAGAGATAACAGCCAAACAAACCTAACATCAATTCAGTTGTGGGTGAGGAGAGTAAAAAATATTGCAAATTACAAATAAATCTACATTAGAAACAGTTATATTCAGGGGGGGTCTTCTCTTACATTTGTACTCCCACCCTATCCTTACATTTTGGATAATATTACAAAACTTCACCTGAATGAGTCTATATTCAGAATTTTCCTCCCCTTTCCATCGTGAAAACAGCAGACATACTATCTTGTCAATGTCATTGCGAGGCCACAAAAAGAAATCAATTTCCTGCACACATCCAATGACATCCTAGGAAATGATCAAAAGATAAATGTTACCCACCTTTGACAAGTATGGTACAAAGGGTTACAAGCTTTTTGTTTATTCCATAATTCTATAAAAAATCCAATCTGTGCAAAGCTTCATTTTTAAGGACAATTTAAGGTTCCGTTGGGACAAATGTGTATCCCACAAATGAATTTAGGAAGTTGGATAGAATGCACCTATTAAAATTAATTAACAAGGCCTAGCTAACACACAGTCTAACTTAGAGTTTCATACTTTTCTTAAACACTGATATCTTGGAGCATGAAGTTGAACAATGTCTTTCTCCAACAGCTGTTGTGAGCTCTCAAGGGAATACACCTCTTCCTTCAAAAGAAAATATATTATCTACTTGTAAAACTCTTACAATTATCTTTGCATTTAAATAGGAAGCTTCAAGCTGGTATTTTCTCTGTCTCCTATGGAATTCACTAGCTCTTCACTCTTAAACCAGATAGGGGCTGCTGTGTAATTTAAGTTGACCCTTTAACTATGATGAGTGACTAAGATAGAATTTCTCTATACATTAACAACGTAAAATCAATAAATGAGAATAAAGAAAAATTTAATTTAGGAGATTATTAGTTTAACTAACATCATAAGAATAGTTAGGAGAATTACTCGTATGGTCTTGGGAGCAGAAGGGTTAAATGCACTACGATGCAGCTTCCAGAGAACAAAAGACCACTCTAATGACTGATTTATCAGACTATAATAATTATATATATGTACAATTTATGTGTGAGAACTTAACTAAACTGTCACTCTTAAGAAACCAGGGCAAATGGCAAATTTAACTGTTGTACTCATTTCCTATCCCTCATCAGCACTAGCATAAACAAACGTTTATTTTCACCTTGACACCTTTTAAGATGCTGTCTTCATAGTTATTTGTCATCACTGGGATCACCTCTGCCACTTCAAACAATGCAGACTTCTTCTTCTGTAACAAATAACATTGACTACTTTTAAGAGGACTAGTGCTTTCACATGTGCATTTCTTTCAGTGGGTGGGTACTTGCATCAACAGCCCCAGTTGTTTGAAGATCGGATAATGCTATCCACTGGATAAATCTCTATCCAGTTGATAACGCTATACATTTTGCTATCACTTATCTACTGGATAGTGATTTATCTGTCCGATAGAATTGTCCACTGTTTACACAACTGGACCCAGGATGGTAAAGAGTCCAACTACTGTAGCTAATAAGTTGGTAAAAACACTAGGAAGTTAAGAGCAATCAAACAATATGAAAACAAAATCCTAGCGATTTAAAGTTGACTCCTTGTGTATTGAATTGTCCATAAACACTTTGGTTTTGGGGGAGTTGAGGTTTTGGAAGATGGGAAGAAAAACAAAAGGCATGTTTTACTTACAGCTGTAAAGATAATTATTGCTTTATCATTCTAACTATGCAGAAAGTGTTCCACTACATCAATGTTTAGATAAAAACCATGAGGTGATCAACAGTTCTGAAGGGAATACAGCAATATGTGCTGATATACCCCTTCCAGTTATTAAAGGTACAATTTTGAGGAAAGTGACCTCAAGAGAAATATTACTTTAAAATGGGCAGGTATTGTTTTGAGTGGTGGAGGGTGAGAGTTCTTGACTCCTGGCTCTGAGGAGCAATCAACAGGAGTAGAAAGGATATACATTTGAGCCCTATTAAATCCTGACTTTTTATTCCTTTATTTATTCTGAGGTTCACTTTTTTATGTCAATTTAAAGTGAGAATCACTCATACTGAATATAGACTTATCACATTTGTAATCAAAATACTCACATCTGTATACTATAGCAATAACAATTCTAGTATGATCGTTTCATAAATCATAAAAAAATTACACTATTCATTTTGATTAGTGTTTTGTGCTCCAATGTTTTCGTTAGATCAAATTTTATTTAACATTATTACAGACTAATTTTCAAACTTTGTGATAACCAACAACATTCGAACTTGCAATCTCAATAGAAGATAACTATTGAACCACAAAACAGTACGAATAACTTAATGTATATGAAGAGTGTAATAGAAACCTTTTTACGACGGTGAAATTGCGTGAATTGTTAATAAAATCCACTTATTTATTACTATATCTGCCACTAAATAATTTGCTTACCTTATCTTTAAAAACCACTGCAAAGTACATTTTGAAGTCAAATTGCTCGGCCAAAGATTCCCGTTTTCGTCGCAGTTGCGATCGCAACCGGTTGAGCGTTGCTGATTTCCTGGAGGCAGGGTCAGCCATTCGAGAACAAGGATTGTATAACCAAGAGAAACTTACGGTTGTGGCCGAAAAAAAAACTATAAACTTCTGTCGGCTGACAGTGTAGGTTAGCTAGCTGTAGGAAGCACAGTTGGTAGTTGACTGGCTATATTCCTAAGAAAAACTGCGAAAATTTAGCCTTAGATGTTTCGGAGCTATTTTATACTGTCTTGAGTTTTCATTTTCGGCATTTTGATGGTCCTCACAGCGCCTCGATGTCCTAATATTCATGAAAAGTTCTGTTCTATCTGCCGTCTGTCCTGTCTTCTCACGGCGAAAAATATGGCATCCCGTGACGTCGAGGCCTCGTTTTGAGTTTGCTATTCGACACCCTTTTTTAAATTTGGCTCCGTCACGCAACATATACAGCCGTTCCTAATGGCGTTCGAACTTTATAGCGTGATATTTGCTGTTCTTTTCGCCTGTGGTTGTCTAGTTCTTCTGCTGGTGGTGCAAGCCGTTTTAGTTTCCATGAGACTGAAGCCAAAGAAGAATCAGAGCCCACGGCATGGAAAGGTTGTCCTTCATCAAATGCCTCCAAATTCCCGAGTTTTAAATGTTTCTCCATCTTGTCTAAAGCTAGAGACCTATTTACGAATGAACAAAATCCCCTATGAAAGCGACTACAGCTTTAGAATGTCGAGCAAAGGCAAAGTGCCATGGATTGAATATAATGGAACGTCCGTTGCGGATTCAAACTTTATTGTCCGTTTTCTCAACGAAGAATTTCAATTGGACCCCGATGCCCATCTGAGTGTCGAGGAAAAAGCCATCGCGCATACCATGCTCGTAACACTTGAGGAGAATACGTATTGGTACGACCTCTAATAATACATAATACACTTATCTGTTTT